AGTTCACAGGGTCAAGCATGGCGAGTATTGACTGTTGACAAGATGGGACGCGTGACAAACCTGCAACTCAGGTTAGAACTGGTAACTCTAGGGAATGCTGCACTTAAGCAGATGTATACCAGGCCAGATAATACCACGTGTAGTGTTGAGGAAAGGGATCTCTTTAAACCCTTATCCTCGCGTGTTCTTTGATGAAGCGATAGGAGAAGATTTAGTTTACTCAATAATCAGCTTTTATCCTTAACACCAGTAGAGTATGCAAAGTTTACAGAGCTCTGGGTCCAAACTATAGTATCCCTGACAAGACAACAAAGTGTGTGTCAGTTCACGAAGTCTGAACAACTATCTCTCCCTGACCCAGTGTGTTATAGTACATCAGTGACAAACGTCATAAGTTAAGCGGTTGTCTTTCTTCCCATCAGCTGTTGACGTCTTCCTCCTGTCCTCGTGGTATCTGACTCCCAACGTTGTCTTCTTCCCATCCAGCTGTTGGACGTCTCCCCTCCTCATCCTCGGTAGTCTCTGACTCCAACGTTATGTTGACGCCTCCGGTGTAATCTAAAACTTTACATACAAATGACAATACTCCTGTTCCTTGTACAGATTGACTAGCACTCTGTTCTTTGCAAAAGATTGATTAACACTATCTAATTCCGCATGTAACTTGACAACTTATTCATGTTCAATGTATGGAGTTGTTTTGCATCATTATGTGGCACTCCCCTTAGTCTCCAAGATCCTGTTTTACGGCTGCAGGGAGAAACTGCGGTTAGCGGTGACCCTAATCGTGAAGTGTCCCTTTAACAACATATCAACCATAGAAAGTTATACAAAATGGTCTGCATGTTTGTCAGAGTTATAAGGCTGAAATAGATTTCATACAGCACTTAAAGTAGTTATTAGAAAAGCCAACACTCTCTGACTGAACTGTTTGTCTGTTTCATCTCATGTGAAGTATTTATTTAAACAGAATCCTAACACTGGAGAGAGAGACATTGCTTCCCAGGTCCTGTGTTTCATGAGAGTTGTTTTCTGTGAAACACCTGTCTGTCATTGAACATGCTTATCTCTCTGAATAAAAACTGTGCTCCCCCCATGAAGAAGAATTTTCCTCAGATATAAAAGCTGTGAATTTCTCAGTGCGGCCTTGAGAGGATTTCATCCACAACAACCTTAAAACTCAAAGCAAATACCTCACATGTGGAGGAGGTTAGTCGCAACTTGATAATCATGACCCAGAACTGCTCTCCTCTCTTCCTCCAGCTCCTCATTACTTTTACACTAAAAAGCAGTAAATTTCTCAGTGTGGCCTTGAGAGGATTTCATCCACAACCTTAAAACTCAAAGCAAATCCCTCATGTGTGGAGGAGGTTAGTCGCAACTTGATAATCATGACCCAGAACTGCTCTCCTCCCTTCCTCCACTCCCTCATTACTTTTATACTACTCTCCGGAACTGTAGGAATCACTCTCAAAGACAAAGAAGAAAGCCCATTGTTCATATCTTCCAACATCATTAGACATCTAACTTTCCACGTGAATAGAAATATTCATAGATATTCATAGAACTTTGCCTGTAAAACCACAGGTGAACGATAAATACACCAAAAGTCTTTTGTATAGTATGTAAAATATCCTGAACAAGTTCCTTTTGACATGAAACACATTTCATTGTAGCCAGTTAATCACATATTTATAGTGGTGGAGTTTAACTAAAGTTGAGGTATGTATACTATTCATGGCCCATGAATAGTCATGGGTTGTCCTATTTAATGCTAATTTAAACTTCTACTCCATTTGTCAATAATCAAAAATTAATCAGTCACTTTTTTGATGGCGAAATAATTGTTTTAGGTAATTTTTTTATGCAAAAATGTGAAAATTAACAGCATTTCCTCATCTTAAATGACATTAAATTGAATAATTGTGAGGTCTAGATGTTTGCGATAGTATTTATCACGTTTGTCTTTTGTTATACCTGTCCACTACCCAGCCTGACGTCCGGCGGGATCCTGTCCTCCGTTTGTCAGAGTGGAACTTTCCCTGCTGCAGGGAAAAAACAGTGAACATAAAACAGTGAACACCCCTGTTTGTCTTGTTTATGTTACTATTTTAAAGTCCAGGTCTCTCCCACAAATGGTCTTGTGAGCTATGACCCACTCCTGACCTTAGTCTGTGACCGACTGCTGACCGGTCACTTCCTACCATAAAACACAACCCCCTGACCAGGACCATATACATTTACTACCCCTCCTAATACTGTTTATTTAACACAGTGCGACCTATTTTTTTTTTATATTGTCTTTCCTGTTTCCTGATTAAGTCACTGCTTTTCTAACTGACAGTGAGCTTCATATTGAGACTAACTACTTTACAATGATCAACAGGTCAGGTCCCTGTGAGTGAAACCTTTTGTTCTATTGTGAGGAGAGCCCAGGTGTGTTTTTAACCTGTGTAAATACACTCAAAGGATATAAATGATCTGCCTTCAGGATATCGGTCAGAGAAGTACTGATGTATGTTTGATTATCTCCTTGCTCACTCCTCTATTTTCTTATGAAACTTCAGTAAATATTCTTTTTTTATAATCTAGAACCTGAGTGAAGTTTTTGTTCCAATGAAAGTTTTCTTTTACAATATAGACACACACATATTTATACACTATCATAAGAGAGTATAAAAGTCAGTATGGGAGAAAGAAAGATGGTATCTCAGTCAATTTTGTCCAGATCATTTTAAACCAGAGCAGATACTTTCAAGTTCCATCCAAATGAGGAAGTGTGAAGTTACGCATCATTCCACTATAGGAAAGGGGCAGGGACAGAATAAATAAAAAGGGCACCAGATGAATGCTGTGAGTCACCAGCACGCAGAAAGTCATGATGCATTCATGGTGAGATAGTCCCAAACCCCATTCTAGCATCTAGGGCATTAGTGCACTATATAACATTGGCATCCACACATTGGGCCACAATAGAGGACACTTTAATATGTTTTACAGGCATCCAAGAACACACTTTTTGCTGTTTTTTTCCACCAGTGCAAAGTCAGAGATGTTAGGTTTAGGTGTTGTCAACTGGTGGATTTTACATGGAGTAAGAAATATGATTTTATTTTGGAAGAACATGAAATAATTCTGTCAAGAATGTCCAAGAAACAAACAAGTAAACAAACATTTTTAAAAAAATATACAAATACATCTCACATTTAACAGAAGATCTCCATTTTACAGAAATCTTATTAAAACGAACAAAATATGAATATAAAACTAATACAAAAATAACAGTAGATAACTGCTGACAATATTACATTAGAAATGTTAAAAAACTGAAAGCGCAGTAGCTTAATATGCTGTTTTTCAAAAGGTTTACAAACACATTCTTTATATTTAAGCGGTCCAGTTTGTAACACTAAAAAAGATCTATTGGCAGAAGTGGAATAGTATATGTTCATGACCTGAAAATAAGAATCTTTGTGTTTTTTTAATCACCTTAGAATGCGCCATTTGATGGGCACAATTAGCCAAGATCCTTCTAAATGTTACATACTGCACCTTTAAACCCT